CTACGCCAGCCAGCCACAGAGGGAAGAAAGCGTGTACTGACGTTTCTTGGGTCGGTGCTATTTCCTCTCACGTCCTCCATGACGCTGTGAAGCAGTTCGATTTTTCCATAATTTATATACGCAGAAACTAAAGCCGAATGGCTTGTCCCGGCGTCACAGCAATAAGTGGTGGCCAGACTTCTAACCCTGGGACCTTAACACGGAGGAATGCGTGCAGCGGGGGTGCATTGGTACTTATCTCCCGCTCTTTGCGATTGTTAGAGACTTTCCTACGTAAACAAAAAGAGGCAGTATGGCCAAAGGATGATGGACTCTCCCATTGCCTCAGAGTTGGCAAGAGGAGAGCCTTGATCCAGATCTGAGGGGAGGAGGCCACCAGATAGCTACCTGTTTACAACTGTGGAATATGAGGCGTGACTCTCTTGTTTCTAGGCCCTGTCAGCTCTCTTTGACATTGATTGATAGACATTAGGGGTTAGCATTCCTGGCGCCTCTCCAAAGATTCCCTCCAGCTTGTGTTCTACCTGGGGACCAATGGCAACCTTGACCTCTGCCCTACTGCAGAGTGCAAAGCCAGATTGCCCGGAGACTAAACCGGCACCACTGCCAAGTTGGTTCTTGTCTGTTACCAACACGGGCTTTTTTTCATTCTTTTCATTTTTTTCTAAATTATATATTTTTAAGTTAGCATAGACAGTAATGTGTTTCATCATGACCTTTAAAAGTATATATTTTGTTTTGATTCATACCGATCCCACCATGGTCACTGTCCCCTTCTCTACCCCAGAGCCCCTCTTCCCTTCCAAGTCCACGCCTTCCATCACCCCTACTCCCCTCCCCCGCCTCATTAAGGGCTCTTCTTCCAGAAATGATCCATTTCTCCTTTGATATTTCGTTCTTCTTTCATGTTGTGTTTTGGCTTCTTTGAGACAGAGTCTCACTCTGTAGCCAGGCTGGCTTGACACTCACTGCTCCAGCTCGGTTTCAGGCTGAGGCAGCCTACCAAGGGCTAGCATTAAAGTCGTGGGTCTCCATGCTTGGCATCAGCCCTTTTATTTGAAGGAGAAAGTGGCTGAATATGGGATTTTTTAACATTTATTTTTTTTAATTCATTTTACATTCCAACCAAGGGTCTCCCTCCCAGCCCTCGTCCCACCCACCCTTGCTTCCCCCCCAGCCCATCCCCCATCCACTCTTCCCAACAGGTAAAGCCTCCCATGGGGAGTCTACACACTTTGGCATATTAATTAGGGGCAGGGCCAAGCCTCTCCCCTCTGCATTAAGTCTCAGTATGGCATCCCCCTCCTAGGGAATGGGCTCTAACAAGCTAGCTCTTGTACCAGGGCTAGATCCTGGTTCTACTGCCAGAGGCCCCTCAGATAGCCCAGCTTCAAACTAAATAAGAAGGCACAACCAGTGAAAACAGCTTTAAAAAAAAGAAGAAGAAGAAATATTGTTCTCTTGGTAAATGGGAGGAGTAAGGGGGTACAAAAAATAGCGGTTTGCAGAAATAACGCTTATCAACACTTGATCTTTCATAGTGTTCAAGCATACCACTCTAACAAAAATTAAAAACTTGTTCACTATTATTGATGTTTTAAAAAAAGATCTCTTCTTCCTCCATTACAGTCCTCTTTGAACTTTATTGAGCTGCACACACACACACACACACACACACACACACACACACACAGAGGCAGTATTAATTTTTCTGAACCTGCCTTATTTCGCTTAAAACAATGATCTACAGTTTCTAAGCCAGGTCTCCGAAGCAAACACAATTTCACACGCACCAGCTCACACATCCCACCCACATGGTCACTCTAAAACACACTCAACACCATGTCTTTGTGGATTATGAACAATTTATTAATAAAGGAAACACATGCACCCCCTTTAAAAACAGATGTATAGAAACTCTTCTCCTCTTGGCCTGCTCAAGGCCAGGGAAGGAAACCGCAGCACCAGACCACACAGACCCACGGTTCTGAAGGGGACAGTGCTCATGTGAGACAAGAAAATCAGAGACACGAACTCATGTCGGTGGCTTCACCACCAAGCATCTGGCCGGCACACAGACAGAGCTTGCACTGCACTGCTAAGCACACTGTGGGTTTTTAACCAGAGGAAAATCCAGTGGTGTGTGTATACAAATGCGAGCATGGAGCAAGAAGTCAGAGCAAGTACCAGGACCCAGTTCACATCCGCAAATGACGGGCAGCTTTCAAGTCCATTTCCGGTCGTCTTTCGGTGACCGCTCCACAACTGTCCCCCGATTCCTGCCCCCCCCCCAGCTTTGATCCAGTCTCTACAGCAATCTCATCGTGTACTGTATACTGCACATAGAAGGACGCAGAAGCGACTCCGGAGATCGTGTTGGACATGGATAGAAAACATGTACAGAACAGCATTCTCTGCGGAAACATACTGGAAGGAACTCAGAAGAGGACATCTAGGCTCTCCATCCAAAAAAGAAACGTGAGGCCGCTACTTGACTCCTGTTTCCAGGGCTTTAGAGTCGCTATGGTTCAGGCAAGGCTCCAAGGTGTAGCCTACACCAGTTTGGACGGAGCTTGGGAGCTACAGATGATGGTCACACCAAGACAGATCCGTTGAGTGGGCTCGGTTACAGCCTGTACACACAGGCTGTCGTATTCCTATTCCAAGTGCTGCCAAGTCCTGGCCGTCTCTCTTCTTTGCAAAATCTTGATTCGTTTCATTCTCCTGAAGGAGGCTTGTGGAGGGGGCTGTGCAAACCTTGCTGTTTTAGGGTTTGGAAGGCACAGTCACCATCCTGGCTCCTTGACAGATTTGAAGTGTAACATTTTGCTAAGTGAGAAGCTGTGTGCCTGCTCCTTCTCTGTTGCCCTTCCTGCAGCTTCAATATTTGCAAAACAATGTCAAAATACTGCAAATCCAGCCCAAAGCCATTTGTTATTCATGCAACGCAATTCCTACACGTACCAGTGCGCTTTAGCTAAGGGATCCATTCATTTGCTTTTGCTCCTTCTATGCACTTACAACGTTCCCCCCTCTTTGGGGAGTAAAGAATAATGTGATCATATCATAGCAAAATCCCCGTTCTATGCAGACAAAATATTATAAGCTTAAACCATGCCTACTCCTGACTGTGTAAGAAAAGGAAAAACCTGCAGGCTAAAATTATTCTACCCTTTAAAATGCCCCGTGAGCCATTTGTATAGAGCAACCTAACTGTGTGGGGATCTTAATTTTCTCATTAAAAGCAAACAAATGAACAAACAAACAAACAAAAACCCTGCTGGGTTTGCTGGTCGAAGCTGTGAAAGGTGCCCTGTGTGCCTCATGCTCAGAAGCCGACATGACTACAGCCTCACTTTGAAAGGACGGCCTGTGAGATCCCAGATTCCCAATCATTTTACTACTTCTATAGAAAACTACCACAAGTCAATGTGAATTCAGTTATTCTTTACATGTGCGCAGGTGCAACCGTGTGTGTGATACATGTGGAGGCCAGAGGTCAGCTGCCCACTTTAGTTTCTTTGTTTCTGTTTCTTGAGACAAACTCTTACGGGGACCCAGAATTCAACCATTAAACAAAAGCCGGCTGGTCCAGGAGTCCCAGTGACCTACCTGTCTCTACCTGTCCAGGGATTACAAGCACATGTCACTAGGCCTGGCCTTTTTAGCTGGGTTCTAAGGACCAGGTTCTCACTGGGGTGGCAAGCACTTGGCAAACCAAGCTATCTCCGCAGCCAGAGTTGGTTGTTCTTAACAAAGATGGAAGGGTTTTCAGGTTAGTATCTGGAGGGTTGGTGCTGTGCTCATGTAACATTGGGATCAGACCTCCGGTAGGACTTTACTCACTCTCCCCTCTGATGGGCCTTCCTGACCTGAGCCTGCAGGCGAGAAGAGCAGACCACAAGGAGTGTTCCCGGAGTAAACCACAGAGACAGTCCTCCAGCTGACTAGCCTAACTCTTTCCTGTAGTTGGGTGTGTGTGTCACACAGGGCTGACTCCATTGTCACCGCCATGGACTCTCCACCGACTCTTAAGGGCAAAGGAGGACGTATGTTCCCTTTAAGGCAAATGTTCTGACTAACAAAGGATATGAACAAGAAGCTGGACAGCAAACTTGGCTGCACTATGGCCCAGAACTTAGAGACACCGACTAAGAGAGACAGTCATGGTGGTTTTTACACGACGTGGGTTTCCCAGGTGAGCCCTTCCTCAATGCTTTTCTGAATTTATTAATGACAACAGCACACACAGCAAAGTCCATCCCAACAAAGTGCCTGTGTCTTAAGTCTAACGAAACTAAATCGACCCTCTAACATGGACATATCGCTAAATAATGACTTTAAGACATTTGTGTCTAGGTCCACTGTGAAAGTCAGCATTCGTAGGCCTTCATAGGAAGGCCAAGCTTATGAGAGCACTCACCAGTGCTACCCAGTCACCAACAAAGGTGCGTGGCTGTCCAGGGAGACACTCTCCAGCACATCACCACTGTGCTAATAGTGTGTTTCCTGTGACAAATGCTCTTGCTTTTTTCTCCAAGAGCGTTGTAAATCACGAGTTCTTTTCTGCAGTGGTCGGCTTCCAGGAAAGTGCATCATCTTCAGACATCTTCCCTTGTGGCTATAATTTTTCTTAACACCAACAGCGCAGCCTAAGTACAGCCAGAGCTCATTAAACAGACTTCTGAGCCCAATTATAGTGAACAATTAGCTGGAAATTAGTCTTAATGATTTGTTTTAGATGACAGGCTGGAGGCATAATATAATTATTTTTATACTTTCTACGGCGTTAAGAATGTAATGGAGCCACCTCTCAATGAGGTGAAGTGGACAATCATGGGGGCCGTAGACAGTCACGGAGCGAGGCTGCGGATGACGGTCATGGAGGCTGCGACCCACTCACGGGGCAGAGCTAAGGCAGCCAGAAGGCTGCCCCCAGCCCAGGGGGGGTTTATAATTTACTCAGCCTTCCTGTTCTACTTTTTTTTTTTAAAAAAAAAAAAAAGCTATTTCAATCCTTAAGGACATCTCTGCTGTGAAAAATAAAAGCATTCAGCACAGAGATTCGTCTTCCCCCAGACCTCTACCGTTCTCGGAGACACCACGTGAATAACGGAAGGTGGTAGAAGGAACTAGAGGAATCTACGGTGTAGGAAGCGGCCTTGCACACCAGTTCACACCTCACACTGGACAGACAGGAAAGGAGGCTACGTGAGTCACGGATGAAAGAGTAAGGAGGAAGCCCCCGAGTGCAGCACGAGATCCCGGGCGCCCGGTCCTCCTCTGTCAATCCTTTGCCTTTCAGGGTTTGTCAAATCATTTTGAATCTTGTTTCTCATAAAAAAAAAAAAAAACTTTAAAAAAATAAGTTTTTTAAAAAAATTATGGGCATGTGTTTGTATGTGTATGGGGTACCCCATGCCCACACTGGAGATACAGGGGGTGTGAACCACCCAACTTGGGTTCTGAAACTGAACTTGAACTCGGGTCCTCTGCAGGAAAACGTGTGAGCCATCTCTCCACCCTGTCCTCACAAGAATATTTTAAAATGCACCAATAGAGATCTAAAAAAAAGTTCTTTTGTTTTCTGAAAAAAAATCTAAAAATATTCCCTTAGAGAATGAATAATTTGTTTTCAAGAGTTTGCCTTTAGAAAATTGCATTTTTTCACCTTGGCTAGTCAGGGTTCCGTTTCCGCCTCTACCCCTGAGCCAAGCTCTTAGGCCTTTTGTGGTTGAGCATCAGAAGCCATCAGGGAGCGCAGCCTAACACCCACATAAAAGACCTGGTACCTGTGTTTCCACATCACAAAGCAAGCCAGCAAGCACACAAGGCCACAGAGCGGGTTGAGGACCATCTGGAGGATTAAGAACAGTTTGAAAGTGCCCGTGATGCTGGTACAGTCCGCCACATCCCGGTACACAAAGGTCCTGCTGAGAGGCTCCGAGGAAGGCAGTTTGCACAGGCAAGAATCGAGAGAGCTCTCACAGGTAAACTGGGCAAGCAGCGAGCAGTGGTGGGCGGCAAATGCCACCGCCAGCGTGCAGACCACCAGGCCCAGGGCACTCAGCAGGAAGTAGAGCACCTGAAAGAGACAGAAAAAGCTTCCTGTTACAGAGAAGAGGGGTCCAACACAAAGCAGACTAGCCCACGCTTAGCCCGCGCTGTTTGGCTGAGTTCTCTGAGGCAAGGGCCATTCTTTTCTCAAGCCATAATACCAAGACACGGCTACACTTCACACTGATTAGCGAGATGACTGACTGATTTCTGCAGCAGGGTCTTGGGTACCCCAGGCTGACCCTGAACTTGCTCTATAGCTGTAGAGGGCTGGCTTGATTGCCCAGTCCTCCTGCCTCCAGTGTTCAAGTGCTGGCATCACAGATGTATGCCACCGTGGCCAGCTGCAGAATTACTTACTGGGAAATCACGCTTATATATAGCATTTGTCATGCCGCTGTTGGCTTTTCCCATGACCTGCAATGATCTCTTAGCTTGGCTGGAATGTTTATGTCTAGATTTAGCAGGTAACGTAAATGGATCCCAAACAAGCCCTCTCTCCCACGTGACACACGGCACTTATTCTTTAAATTGAGAAAGGCTGGTCATAGGGCAGAAATGGGATTCAAAACCAAAGGACAGGCTTCTGTACTACGAGCGCCGTGTTGGTCAAAACTATTGCACATTGATCAGCTAACGATAAAGGTTAAGGGAAAACAGAACGCAACTGATGTAGCGGCTATCACACTTCAGCCATGATGGTCAAGATCCCTAAGCAAGTGGTCTCTGGGCGGAAACAGGAATGGTGGAGACAGGAAGCAGGTGGTCTAGACATTAGCTCTGGGGTTGGGTGTGCTGCCTAACTCCTAACTTTGCTCGGAAGGGATTGTAACTTCTTAAGCATCTCTGATTCAATTTACCTATATCTGGAACACTGTGACCGAAAGTCCTGGGTCCTCACTGACAGAGCCACAATAAATTTCACTGTAACGGCACAAGAGATGCCCTTGTGACTGGATTCACACACCAGACACGGCTCTCTTAGTGGTCTCCTTTGTGGTCCAAACAAAGACCAGTTCCACAAACTTTGGGACTTGTGTCTACAGTTTGTAGAGCAAGATCTATGCTTCCATAGAGAAAAAAGTTACCCCTTAGTGGGAGCAGTTCTGGTGTCCGACCAAAGCCAGCCTTAAAGCCTCCTCCCCTCAAGGGCTGGGATTTCAGGCAGGTACCACCACGCCTGGCTAAAACATCGTGTATCTTAGAAACGTAACGGGAACAATTTGTATTTGACATGATTATTTTTCCCTGGAGGGAAAGAATCAGATAAATGCAAAGTGGCATCATTATAAAATTTAGAAAGGGCTTATTTAATTTGTGATATTAAAAGGGGTGCTTTGGTGCTGTCCCCAGAACACTTGGTGACAATATTTTATGTAGACTTGGCGTGTTTAGACGTTAAAATATGGGTTTACTGTGTAAGGCTAATGGCATGGAATATTAAAAAATATCGTGGATTATTCTGAAATCTTTGGGCTTGGTGATCGAGTTTAGATTCCTGGCATGAGAGCCAGTTTATGCTGGTCACGTGTGACCATTAGCAGGAGGAACCCCAGTTAAAAGTGGCCATTTCCCTCTGGGTAGCCATCTGCTTAGCAGAACAGCCCCAGACTGAATTGCGGCCACACGGTTCTGGTTTTGGCCACCAGCAGCTAGACCCTGCTTTGCTCCTCTCCCTACCGCACACCCCGCCATGCGCACACGTTCACAATCACACCCGGAGGCGCACACGTTCACAGTCACACCCGGATGCACACACGTTCACAGTCACACCCGGATGCACACACATTCACAATCACACCTGGAGGCGCACACGTTCACAATCACACCCGGATGCACACGTCCTTAAACAGTAGGTATTTAGAACACTTACTACGGGGAAAGCCCATTTGTGACAATAAGACGTCTGTCTACTTTAAAGAAAACAGGGCTGGCAGGACGGCTTCGTGGATAAGGGCTCCTGCCACCAAGTCTGGTGACCTGCGTTCCATACCTGGACCCACATGGTGGGAGGAATGAGCCAATGCCCCACAACATGCACACTGGCCTGTCTGCACACACCATAACACACAGACACAGACGATAAATAAATAAAATTCAGTTTAAAAATGTTTAAATGATACATTTTGGCTCAGATACTTAGTTGCCAAAGACCATTTAACAAGGACACAACAGTGGAGGACATGAACCAGCAGCTGGGCCAGGCTGGGCCGGCCACCTAGTTAAGGTTTCACTCCTGAACGCTACCCAGGGGACTCGTCTGCTGGACATTTTAACCAGTATCTCTTCGCCTGCAAATGTGGAGTGCTGCTTCTAACCTGACTTCCTGTTATCACTACGAGGACCAAGAGTGGACCTCTCCAAAGGGCACAGGAGTTAAACCAGCGGAGAAGGAGGCTGCCATTTCCAGGAATCCCCAGGACTGGCTCTACTGTCTGCCTTGCTTCTTTCCGTCCAGTGGGCAGAACAATGCGGATTGGCTTGCTGAAGGGGTGAATACTGACACAAACACAGAGGTTGCTGAATTGTAATCTAGCTCCTTACTATACAGAACTCAGCAGCTCAGGGACAAGGGCCGAGAAGTGCCACATCCCTCAGCAAAGTGACCCGGGCACACATCGGAGTCAGGAGAGCCTCTTGTCTCTTGGGTCACAGCTGGACACTCAGGCCTGCTGGTGACATGGGCAAGGCCCCTTCCTCACAGCAACAGGCTCCTGCCTTGAAATCCACAGTTTAAAACCAGGCGCCTTGTTTTGCCCACACAGGGGAATAAGCTATCAATGAAGGCAGGGTGTGGAGTGACCTTGGGATGTGGCAGCAGACTGTGTGGGTGTCCCTGCAGAACATCCCTGGAGGCCAGCTCTGTGCTTATGTAATCCCCAGGCTTGCTCCTGCCTTGCTGTGATTGGAACCTGCTGAGGCTGTCCCAGTTGGTGGCATGGGGGGTGGGGGGTGGGGGGTGTTCTGCTTGGATTTAATGATCTCCCCTCTGGCCAGAATGGTAAGGCCTCTCTGCCGCCACCAAGCAGCCCAAAGGAAGGTAGGAGAGCACCCAGAGGGCAGGTGGGAGGGTCCACACCCAGTGACCTTCCAGGTCCAGAGGCAGAGTCCAAGGAAAAAGCAGGAAAAATGCTGGTGGTTTCCTGGTCTAAGAGCAGGGGAGTGTGTGCATGCATGTATGTGTTTGTGCGTGCGTGTGTGCACGTGTATGTGTGTGTCTGAGTTTTTATATGTTTGTGTACATGTGAGTGTGTGTGAGAGTGTGTTTGTATGTGTGACTGTGTGTTTGTGAGTGTGTGTTTGGTATGGGAAGTCCTTCTGTCTTTTATTAATGAATAAAGAAACTGCTTTGAGCCTACGGCAGGGACGAACAGAACTAGGTAGGGAAAACTAAACTGAATTCTGGGAGAAAGAGGGCGGAGTCAACGAGAAGCCATGAAGCCACTGGGGAGGGGTGACAGACGTGCTGAATCTTGCCTGTAAGCCACGGCCACGTGGCAATGCACGGATTAAGAGAAATTGATTAATTTAAGATATGAGTTGGCTAGAAATACTCTTAAGCTATGGGCCAAACAGTATTGCAAATAACATAGTTTCTGTGTGGTTATTTCGGATCTAGGTGGCCAGGAACAAATGAACAGGCTCCAACAACATGTGTTTATGTATCTGAGTATGTACGTAAGTGTGTGTTTGTATGTATATGTGAGTGTGTTTGTGTTTGTATGTGTGTGTTTCTATGTGTGTATTAGCAGTGTGCGTGTGTGTGTGTTTGTGTGGGTATGTGAGTGTGGTTTTATGTGTATGAGTATGTGTTTGTATGTGTGTGTGTGTGTGTATGTGTATGAGCAGTGTGCATGTGTGAGTTTGTTCCAGAAGACTCCATCACCGTAGCATGATGGTCTGGCCTGTCTACCAGGGCGCCCAGTAAGAGAAAATAAACTAAAAGCTTAGCTCAGAGATAGAGGGTGAAAACGCAGCCATGCACTGACAAGCGCCTCCTGAAGGCCCATTTCACTCCCCTAAGACAACACAGGAAGCATGGGGACATCAACTGTGTCCTGATGGGGCCTGGGCAAAGCTGTTTTAGGACTGAAGATGCCACAGAGAGAACCTTAGATTGCTGTGGCAGCAGCCTGGCTGAAGGTTCCCTTCCGGGAGGAGGAAGGGCCTCCTGTGTCTGTGTGTCTGGCCTGGTGAGAAAGGAGAGAGCTAATGAGGTCTTCCCATGGGGTCTGCAGCCTGCCTGACGCTGCCAGTTACTCTCTTTCCCCCCACCCCCTATCATTTTTAAGGTACAGTTGTTGAGATGCCTGGTAGGGGGACTCACTGAAAGTGAGGCTTCACCCCTGCTTTTTCAGGAATCACAAAGGGAGTGAGGAAGTCAAGGCGCTTTCCTATTCTTACCACCTTGCCTTGCTGTCTGGCCAGCCTCAGCATAAAAGAGCCTGAACTGGTGTCTGCTTTCTCTTGCCTTCTTAAAAAAATCCTTCTATCAAAAAAGTTCATTCCAGGGCTGGAGAGAGGGTTCAGGGGTTGAGAACGCTGCCGCTCTTCCAGAGGACCCAGATTCAGTTCCCAGCACCCACATGATGAGGCACATCCGTCCTTCAAATGAGCACATTGCTTTTTACACCACCATCTTTGAGTATCTGACATTTTCCCTCTCCTCCTCCTCCTCCTTTTGAGACAAGATTCTGTGTAGCTCAGCTGGTCTCAGCTGAGGCCGCCCTTGCGCTTCCGATCCCCAATCCCCGTTTCTACTTCATGAACGGAGAGATTACAGTCCTGCGCCACCAGGCTTCATTTATTCGGTGCTGGGAGTCAAATCTAGGGCTTTGCCCACTCGAGGCAAGAGCCGTACCAACCAAGCTACATCCCCGCTAACAAATCCTATCTTGTATCTTTGTGGCTTTTAAATGACATTGTTGACTTACTCTTGGGTTTCATGCTTCCCGATTGTAGCAAAGAACACGCCCAGGAGAAAAGTCAATGGCAGAGGGACAAGAGAAACATACAGAGCGGTCTCCATCCTTGGAGATGCCACTGAAACCCACCAGCCAGGCTGCTCAGGTTGCTCTATGCTCCTCCCCTCTGACGGAAGTGTTTAAGTTTAATCTGCTGTGTACTTAAAGAGACTGCAACCAAATACGCTTTCCACTATAGGCTAAAAGTTCACAGCAACAAGAGACAGACAATTGCCAAGCCATCAAACCATGCACAGCCTCACAGTTTCCCACAGACTCTTGGCAGGACCCACTGACTTCACCCAATGCCCTTTCTGTCTCAGTGATCCCATCGACAAGAGGAAATACACTCAGATTGCTTTATTATTGAAATATTTCATCCAAATAACCCCAAGATATAGAAGTGGGCACCCAGAGAGACCTTTCCCTGCCCAAGGTTTTCCTTGAGCTGGTGACTGTTCAATACTCCTTTTAGGAGCATTGGCGTTCCCACTTCATTTGCTCTGGGAACCACCTAACTCATAGAAAGTAGGTAAAAGGCCTGGCATTACCTCTGTGTCTGGACCAACATCCTCCTAAAACACATTTGGGCTGCCTGAAAGCGAAGTTTCTAGACTCATCAGACATGTAACACTGAGAAGCACTCTTTCATTTTGACTTACGTTTCTTCCTATGTAATGATTCTGAAAAAAGGAGAAACAACTTACTTTCATAGAAAACTGGACACATGTCCTCTCGTCAACTTGGTATGAGACACAGAGCATGAACAGTCCAAGGTAGGCCACCACGCAGACCTGAGGCAGGGAACACAGTACATGGAACATTATTGGAGCATGCACATCAGAACTCCAGCAACTCTGAGCTCAGGGTACCTCCCCCGGGATCATCCACACTGCCAAGCCCTTTGCTTCATTTTATTTATTATGTGCTACAGGTTTTCACTAACACAATTTAAAGATGTAGTTTTGCTATTTTGAATTCAGTACATGTTTGTGTTTCCATGTGTGGATATGTGTACATGAATGCAGTGTCCTCAGAGGCCAGAAGAGGGCATCAGATTCCCTGGAGCTGGCACTGTAGGCAGTTGTAAGTTTTCTAACATGGGTGCTGAGAACTGAACTAGGGTAGGTCCTCTGCCTGAGCTGTCTGCAATTTTTTGTTTGTTTGTTTTTGTTTTCCAAAACGGTTTCTCTGTGTAACAGCCCTAGCTTCCTGGAACTAGCTCTTGTAGACCAAGCTGGCCTTGAGCTCACAGAGATTTAAGGGGTGTGCCACCACCACCCAACTTCATGCACTTGTAAACGTGGAACCATCTATCTAGCCCAGTGGAATATGGTTTTAAAATAGCAAAGACATTATTTCAATTTATCCAGTATTTATTAAGTTCCTCTGTATTTGGTACTTTAGAAAACAGTTCAGAAATTGAAGAAGACACCAGAAAATGGAAAGATCTCCCATGCTCTTGGGTAGGTAGAATTAACATAGTAAAAATGGCAATCTTATCAAAAGCAATTTATACATTCAATGCAATGCCCATCAAAATCCCAGCAAATTCCTCACAGACCTCGAAAGAACAATATTTAACTTCATATGGATAAACAAAACAACAACAACAAAAAAAAAAACAGGAGAGTCAAAACAATCCTATACAACAAAAGAACTTCCAGAGGTATCACAACCCCTGACTTCAAACTCTACTACAGAGCTACAGTACTGAAAACAGCCTGGCAGGGGCATAAAAACAGACAGGAGGACCTATGGAACCAAATTGAAGACTTGGATATAAATCCACACACCTACAAACACCTGATGTTTTACAAAGAAGCCAAAAATATAAAATAGAAACAAAGCATATTCAACAAATGGTGCTGGCACAACTGGATATAAACATAGAAAAGAATGCAAATAAATACATATCTATTGCCATGCATAAAACTTAAGTCCAAATGGATCAGACCTCAACATAAAATTAACCACATTGAACCTCATAGACGAGAAAGCCGGCACAAAAAACCAGTTCCTAGATATAACCCCAGTAGCACAGACACTGAGAGAAACAATAAATGGGACCTCCTGAAACTGAGAAGCTTCCGTAAAGCAAAGGACATAGTCAACAAGACAAATGACAGCCTACAGAATGGGAAAGTATCTTTACCAACCCCACATCTAGCAGAGGTCTGATCTCCAAAATATACAAAGAACTCAAAAAACTTGACATCATCAAAAGAACAAATAATACAATAAAAAATGGGGTACAGACCTAAACAGAGAACTCTCAACAGAGGAATCTAAAATTACCGAAAGACACTTAAGGAAATGTTCATCATCCTTGGCCATCAGAGAAATGCAAATAAAAATAGCTCTGAGATTCCATCTTACACCTGAAAGAATGGCCAAGATCAAAAACAATGATGACAGTTTATGCTGGAGAGGATGTGGGGTAAGGGGAATACTCCTGCATTGCTGGTGGGAATGTAAGCTGGTACAGCCCCTTTGGATTTCAGTATGAAATTTTCTCAGAAAATCAGGAAACAACCTTCCTCAAGACCCAGAAATACCACTGTTGGGTATATACCCAAAAGTCACTCAATCATACCACAAAGACGAGTGCTCAACTATGTTCATAGCAGTATTATTTGTCATAGCCAGGACCTAGAAACAAGGTAGATGTCCCTCAACTGAAGAATGGATAAGGAAAATGGGGTACATTTACACAATGGAGTACCACACAGCAGAAAACAATAATAACCTCTTGAAATTTGCAGGCAAATGGATAGGTCTAGAAAAAAAAACATATGGAGTGAGGTAACCCAGACCCAGAAAGACAAATATAATATGTCCTCACTCAGAAGTGGCTTTTGGACATTAAAAAAAAAAAAGCCTACAGGCCACAACCACAGAGAAACTAGACAACACAGAAGACCCTAAGAGAGACATAAATGGATCTACATAGAAAGGTGAAAAAGACAATTTACTCCTGAGTAAATTGGGAACATAGGGTTTAGAGAAGATGGTAAAAGGGGAGAGGGGAGTAGATAAAAATGTATAGCTCAATAAAAACAATAAAAAAGAAACATAGCCTATAAAAAAAGAAAAAATATAACCTCTGGGATCTCAGCTTAAAAAAATAACATAGCTCAGAACATTTACAATGATAAATTGAATTTAATCTGATTAGTATATATCCAGTAGAGTCTGAAATAAACTCTCTCTCTCTCTCTCTCTCTCTCTCTCTCTCTCTCTCTCTCTCACACACACACACACACACACACACACACACACACACTAAGGAAGAACATTTTTTTGTTCCATGCCATTCAGAGAATTATAAAAGTTTAAAGAAATCTAATAGGAAAATATAGGATGCTTCCCTTAAAATTTGGGCTTGAAAGGGTCTAATAATAGTGACAGCCACAGCAGTCCGTCTAAGGGCCTTCTGTATCTTTCTTCATGTCTTCATCACAGAACCCTGTCAAGTGGGTACTGGGGAGATGAGGGGAATCCCGGAACCACACTGCAGGCAGCCTGGTTGAAGGCAGATTCAGGAGCCATAGCCCAGCAATGGGACAGAGCAGAGCATCCTAGCATAAGAGACAGAGACCCACAGCATAACTGTAACAAAATGTAGCGTGGAAAAGGCAGGGTGGAGATACAGGACAGAGGGGTGATGAGGAGGTGGCTGGGGTCTCCAGCAGGGAAGGGGCGTGGCTTCAGATACATTTCAGGAAGATGGGCAAAGATGTTTGCTGATACGAAGAGGATCCTGAGACACTCTTTCAGCAATCTGAGCAAGACTGGTCATTAGCTGGGTGTGGCGGCCCCATGCCTGTCATCTCAGCACTCTGGAGGTGAGGCAGGAGGACCACTGTAAGCTCCAGGTGATATTCTAGAGAGGCACACCATTGGAACCGTAAGCACGTTGGACTGAAGAGATGTGAACAGAAAACAAAGTAAGATGTGGGGAGGCGGTTCTGCAGCACAGGACACGCAGGTGCTGGCGGGGGAGATGAGAGGCTGTGCAGGTCGTGCTTCTAAGTCGGGAGCAAGTCCTTTTGAGCACTTTTGAAATTTATTATTATTATTTTACTTTTTGATTTGTCAAGGCAGGGTTTCTCTGTGTAGTTTTAGAGCCAGTCCTGAAACTCACTCTGTAGACCAGACTAGTCTCAAACTCACAGAGGTCCTCCTGCCTCTGCTTCCTGAGTGCTGGGATTAAAGGCATGTGCCTCTACCACCTGGCAAAATGTATTATTTTATCAGCATGTATATACACAGCAACAGATCCTATCATGACATTTTCATGCACACATATAATAAGTCTTAATCACATTCATCTGTTGGCCGAGGTTTCTGTCCCGATTGGTTCCTGCAGTTGTAAAGTCCCAAAGAAACACACAGAGGTCTACATTAATCATAAAATGGTTGGCCCATTAGCTCAGGCTTCTTATTAACTCTTATAACTTATATTAGCCCATTATTCTTGTCTGTATTAGCCACATGGCTTAGTACCTTTTTTCTGTGAGGCAGTCACAGCTTGATTGCTCTGCGTCTGGATGACTGACTGCAGACTGAAACTTCACTCTTCCCAGAATTCTCATTGCCCCATCTCTACTTCCTGCCTGTTTTTCCCACCTATACTTCCAGCCTGGCTACTGGCCAATGAACGTTTATTGAAAATACAAATGACATTTTCCCACAGCATTCATCCACTCCCCTCACCGCCCCCTCCCATCTCAATGACCCCCTTTTTCTTTGCAACCACCCCCTACCTCATTTTCATGTCTAAGTACGTTTTAAGCGTTCCAATCCAGCGCAAGTTTGACAAGGTTGTAGGGGTTCACTACCTACCCTCACATGAAGGATCTGCAGAAATGAACCAAAGGAACCTTGTTTGGTTTTGTTTTCAGCAGCAGCAAGCCAGGCAGAATTTTCCCAACTCGCTCCTGTCACATCCTGAAGTACTTGCCTGGGCTTTCGCCTCAGTTTCTGCCAACAGGATTGAGGTTTCTCCCACATAATTGTCTTGGTCCGTGGAGGATGCTGGGCTGAAATCGCAATTGCCAAGCTCTCCCTCTCATTACGAGATACATACCTTCTAAGGAGCAAGACAGACTGGCCAGCATCTTAAACACCATCACAGACCCTCCACAACAAAGAGCCCCTCCTGTGTCACCTTCACTAGGCCTGACCACATCAACAACACACCATCTGTCCGTCCACTGATGTCAGGGCTACATGCTCTATACTCGACTCTGGGAACTGAGAGACCAAAACCAGTCTCACTCCAGACTGACCCAGCCTGGTAGAGTCAAGTTGCAATACAATGGCGGCGTGAACATCATGTTAGCTGTGGGAATGTACAGATGGTATAACTGACCTCATGGAGGCTGGGGGAAGCTCCCTGGAGTAAGATGGATGCTGGTATGTTTGTCATGTACCTATACGAGACAGTTAAAATTGTAGGAAATACTGGCCCAACTAGAGAGTCTAGTGAAAACTGAAAACTGTCCAAGTTACCCACTTTGTGCAGAAAGTACCTCAAATATACTTCTTTTAACTTTGGTACATTGTGTCATATTGTTATAGTGGTTGAGCAAACTCAACGTATGCTAATAAGTTAGCTTGTATAAGCTGAGAGTGGGGTCTTCTTACCCACAGCCTTGCAGGGACTAACAATTTTTTCCTCTTATTGGTAGTGTGCACAAGGATGTTCTAGAAATATCTTATATTGAATATTTCAAGCTAAAGGCTTTATGGCATTAGGGAAAGAACTAGAGTTCTCATGCCAGACTGA